TTTATAATTTTTTTTTTTTTTTTTTTTTTTTTTCATTTTATACTATTTTATAATTTTCTTATTTTAATATATATTAATTCATTCTATTATTGCTTTTTATTTTATTTATTTTTTTATTTATATTTTTTTACGTTTGTTTTAATTATTTCATTTTTTATATAATTATATTTTTCTCTTTTTATACTTCCTTTTTTTAAAAGAAGAAAAATTACATTTAAGGTATTCAGAAATTTAAATAGAATATTTATATACAGAAAAAAGTTTAATTGCTTATAGAAAAACATATTTTTATAAAACTACTGAATATGTAAATTTTTTTAATATTCTATTAAAAAAAAAAAAAAAAAAAAAAAAAAAAAACAGAAAAAAAATATATAGGTATGAAGATAACAATAAAGTTGAGTGTTTTATTAAATAAAAAAAAATGAAATAAAATTATGAAATAAAAAAAAATTTTTATGTATGACTATTGAACTTTGGCTTAAAAACAATAGAAAAATTAATATGAAAAAAAAAAAAAAAATAATATAAAAAAATAAAAAAAATTATAAAATATAATAAAATTAATACAAAATAAACAAAATAAGCAAATAGAGAGTAAACGACGTACTTAAAAAATAAAGAAAAATGAAAATTTGAAGAATATTTAACATATGTGAAATAAGGTGTTTATTTTGTTTTTTTTATAAGAAAAAAGTATTTATAATTTGATTGATTTAAAAAAAAAATATATCAGAAATATTCGAAGAAATTATTTGATCTTTGTTTTTTACATTTCATTTAATGAAAATTAAATTTTTTTTTAAATGAACAAAAATAATAAGAAAACTTAAAATTATTTTATATAATATTCTATTAAAATATAGTTTAAGAAAAAATATAAATATATTTTTTATAAAGGCATAAATTGAATACCTTTTTTATATTTTTTTCATGAAATTTTTTTTTTTTTTTTTTTTTTTTTTTTTTCATATAGATATAATTCTATCGAGGGTTATATTTTTTTTGAATTAATATACATAAAGTAACCTAAAAATGTTAATGAAAAATATACTAAAATAAAGCATAAAGAAATTTTTTTTTTAGGATTTAACTAATTATTAATAAATCTTTTAATATAAATAATATTTTTTTTTTTTTAATGTTTAATAAAAACATATATATATATATATATGTATATTTATATATATATATATATATATGTATATATTTATATTTATAAATGAAATTTTTTTGATTTTTGTTCTTTTTGCATATTTATTTTGTCTAAACTGAAATGTAATACATAAGATATTTTTAATTTAATTTTTATTTGAACATTTTTAATTGTATATATAAAAAAAAAAAAAAAAAAATTAATGGTATACTTTTTTTTTTTGCATAAATTTTCCTTATTTTTTAAACGGAACAAAATAAAGAATATAAATTTAAAGAAAAAAAAAATAAAATAAATAAAAAAAAAAAACATTTGAAATGTAAAAAATAAAAGAAATGGAAAATTTTTTAAAGGAAAATAATGCTAATGACATACCAAAAAATGAGACGAAAAAAAATATTGGAAACAAAAATATAAAAAATAATGTTAACAATTTGAGTTTAAATGAAAATAAAGATTTAAACGTTTTAGTTGAAAAAAAAAATATAACTGATGAAAATAATATCGTAAAGAAAAATAAAACAATAAATGAACAAAAAAGTAATATATTAAAAACTAAAGATTTATCATTAAGCATGAATTCAAATATGAAATCCAGTGAATATAATAATATGCAATTTAAAACAAAACCCAGTAATAATATAATAAACAAAAAAAAAAATAAGGAAGAATTAAAAATAGGAAAGAAAAAAGTAAATGAATTACAAGAAAAGTTAGTTAATAAATATAATAATATAAATAAAGACACTTTATCAAAAATGAGTAATAAAGAAAGTGAAATTATGCAGAAAGATAAAGAAAACTCTGTTAATATTATAAACCATGAAACTGAAAAAGATAATAAACAAATAATTTTAGAATTAAAAAATACTTTGAACATAAATGACAATTTAAATTCTTCAAATCAAATTGATGGATTAACCTCAGATGAAGTAAAAATTTTAGACAATTGGTATTTTGCAAATAAGTTAAAAATTATAACATGTTTATTTGAAGATAAACCGTTAAATATAAATTTATTAAATTCATTATACTCTATTCATCCATATTTTAAAAATAATAAAAGTAAAATAATAATTTATTTAAAATCTGTGAAAAAGAAACATGAAAATTCATTAAAACAAGCTAAGAAAAATGAAAAAGAAGAAAAAGAAAAAAATATAGGTTTAAATTGCAAAAATGTAATTTTAAACTTATTAGAAAATAATATTGAAAATTTAGTACAAAAAGAATATATGACAAAATTGATTACACTAATAAAAAATGAAAATAATTATGTAAACTTAAAACATTATTTCAATTTTCTTTTAACTTCTCAAATTAACATGTACGATATTTTCTTAGAACAAAATGGACTCTTATGTGTTAAGTGTATTTTACAGAGGATAGCTAAAAATAAACTTATAAAAAAAAGTACAGTTTTATTAATTCACATTCTAAATTTTTTAAAAAAATTAAATATAACCTTTGATCACTTAAAATATACATTAATTGGAATCCCAATTAATTTTATTGCAAGAAATAAATTAGATGAACAAAATGACATGGATTATAGGTCAGATAACCAAACAGTTATAAGTATTGCAAAAGAGTTAATAAACAAATGGAAACTAATAAGGGATAAAACATTAAATAGTAAAGATGGGAACCATGTAAATAAAAATGTAAGAAAAAATATAATCAACCAAGTAGAAAACAAAATAGAAAAAAGTGAAAATAATTTAGAGAAAGATAATAAAAGTGGAGTAAGTAGTGTCTCTTATGAAAAAAAAAGTAAGAATGAAATTATTCTTAAGAATATTAGTAACGATAATAATATAAATGAAAATAATAACAAAATTAATAATATAAACCTATTTAAAAATACTACAAATAGTACGAACAACTCCCAATTATCTTCAAATTATACAAAAAATATTATTGGAAATAATAAAAAATTAGTAAATGAAGATAAAGAAAAATCTAAAAATAAAAATTCATCTAAATGTGCTGAGAGTAAAAATATTATGTTAGAAATAATAGACACTTTAAATGAAGAATATGAAAAAAAAAAAAAAAGGCATTTGGAATATAAAAAAGCTAAAATTGAAGGAAAAATAAAAAGATTTAGTGCATTAAAAAATAATTCAGAAAATAACAAAAATGATAATTTATTAGTAGATTTAAAGAATATTTCTAAACTGGATTTTGATAATGCCTTGAATAAAAAAATAAAAATAAAAGATATAGAAGGTATAAATAATAATTTTGGTGATCCAAAAAATAATATTCAAAATTATAATTATAAAATTAATAAAACTTCAAACAATAATATACCATTTGATAATTATAAAATGAAGGAAAATTATGCTGTTAATCATAATTTACAAAATCAAAATCCACATGAATTTTCAAAAGAATCCTACAAAAATATTTTACATCATCATAGTTTTAATAGAAATAAACAATCTCAAGTAAATATAAAAGATAAAGAAAACTTAGTGGACTCTCGTATATATTTAAATAAATATAATACATATGATATAGATACTATGAATAGTAATTATATTAGTAATTCAATTAATAAAAATATAATGAAAAATAATATAAATAGTGTAAAAAATAAAAATGATAATGAAAATAATTATAAGAGAAATGAAATAAATAATAATTCTAATATGAATAATGTTAATAATATTAACTATTTAAATAAACAAATATTTTCAAATTCTGCATATTATAATATTCAAGATAAACATATAAATCCAGATTACAAAGTAAAATCAGATGGAACAACACCACCTAATAATATTTTCAGAAAATCATTAAATGAAAACTTCAATAATTTTTCTGTGAGCAAAAATGAAAACACAACAAAAAATAATATAGATGAAAATAATTATAATTTTATGAAAGATAATATTTATGATCCATTAAAATTCATTAATAAAAATTCAAATAAATATTCTTATAATAAATCATTTGAATGTGATAATTTACAAGAAACAAATAAAATAAATACAAAAAATTTATTTAAAGATCCTTTTGAATATTATTCTAGTAATCAACATGATACAAATGAAGTGAATCAAACAGATCTAAAAACTATCACAAACAAAGTTAATGATAGTAATAAAAATAATATTTCCGTTAATAATAATACATATAATATGTACATTTCAAATAATTATTTAAATTATATGCAAAATGATTTAAACTTAAGTATGTATAACAATCCTCTAAATTTATTAAATTATGAAAATACATTGCAAAATAAAGAAAATAGTTCATTTTTCTGCAGCTCAAATTTAAATGAAAGTAGCAAAAAAAATAACCCAAATATATTTAATAATTTATCAAATGATATTGTAAATGTAAATGAAAAAAATATAAATTACAATAATATTTATAATAACATGTATTCTAATAATAATTTATCAAATTCGTTAGATAAAAATGCAACACAAGTAGATATTAACGACAATACTCATATTAATAGTCCACCAGGATTAATAAAACAAGTAGAACCCATAGAAAAGGGAACGTGTTTAAATATTGTTGATACGAATCCTACTAATGACAATTTATTATATAATACTAGTGAAAACAATTATAGTAATATGAAAGAAGATAAAGTAAACAGAAGTGAACATATTAGAATTTGTGGAAACAATTCTTCCAGCTTATATAATTCAAATTTAAATAATTCTAACATAGAACGTAATGAGTTAACTGATAATCATATATACGATATTAATAATAATTTAGTTGAAACAAAAAATCAGGAAGTACACGAAGAGAATACTAAAACAGATTATTATAACTTTGAAAATAATTTAAGTACTTCAAATTATCTTTCGAATGAATGCTATAAATTAAATTCTAAAGATGTTCAAATTATTAATAATAATCTAAAAGATATTTCTAAAAATAGTAATACAAATGGAAATGAAAAAAATAATAATAAAATACATTTAGAAAACAAAGATAATATTTACAACCAATACAACCAAAAAATTGATGAATTTAATAATGTAAATATGAAATCAAATTATGAACTTTTAGATACTAAAGGAATGTTGGAAAAATCACTTAATGAAATTTTTAAAAACTTTAAAAATCTTGAAGATATAAAAGTAACTTATAAAATATCCATAAAAGATAATTGTTACCCTTCAAAAATTTATGATGATATTGAAGTACTAAAAAATGATTTAATTATAAATTTCAATTATGATAAATCAGAAACTGTATATGTTTATTTAAAGAGCAATTTATCAAATGTAGAAAAAAAAAGTAACTTAGAAAGAATGAAGATATATAATAATTCACCTCATGAATTGGATGATGCATATAACAATTTAAGAAATACAGAAGATATTAATGAAATATGTAATATAAATAATATAAGCAATGTAAATAATATAAATAATATAAGCAATGTAAATAATTTAAATAATATAAGTAATGTAAATAATTTAAATAATATAAGTAATGTAAATAATTTAAATAATATTGATAATTTAAATAATAATTTTAATATTTTACCTCTACCTGAATTATTTAATCCACCAAATTTGAACGAATTGAAGTTTCCTTTTATACCTATTATTTCAAATTTGCCATCTTCACCAAAAATTATGCCTCCAATGTTATTTCCTTATAATAGTGCTAATGAATACAAAGAACAATCAATTAACAACATAACTAGTACACCTAACACTACTATGAACTCTGCTTTTTCTTCAAATAATAAATTGTATAGGTCTTTTGATGAATTTATTAAAATTTTTGATGAGGATATTCAAAAAATTTTATTAAAAAATAGAGATGTAATAAAAAAAAAAAAAAAAAATTTTAAATAGCAATAATTGTTTTTTATTATTCTTTCATAATTATATGTGTAATATATGATTTTTTTTTTTTTTTTTTTTTTATTTTAATAGTTGGCTAATTTATTAATGAATAAACCAAATGTTGTAAACAAAATGTTAAAAGGCCCACAACACATTAACGTAAGATTTTATTATTATTTTTTTTTTTTTTTATAGTATTATTCCTTGATTTTAACATCCTTAAAAATTTTTTTTTTTTTTTTTTTTTATTTTTATAGGAGGCTTTATCCTCGTTAGAAGAAGAATTAAAAAGTTGGAATAAATCAAATTTAAATTCTTAAAAAAAAATAAAGTTTTAAAAAAAAAAAAAAAAAAAAAAATTAATGAAGTTTTTTTTTTTTGTTAACTATTCTTTTATAACTTTAAGAAATGTTTTATTTCATTATTTTTTTTTTTTTTTTTATATATTTTATTTTTTAAATAAAAGTCTAAACTTGTATATTAATTATAGAATTTTTATTTTTTTTTTTTTATCTTTAATTCATATGTTTTTTTGTTATAAAAAAAGAAAAAATAAAATATAATAAAAATTCTCTTTATTTTTATGATTGTGATTATTTTGTTTAAACATACATATGTATGTCTTTTTATTTATCACTTTTTTATTTTTAATTTTTTATGTTTTAGCACCTTAAATTTCGCAATACTTTATAAAATTTAAATAATAAATTAAATTTATATTATAAAGATGTTTAAAAAATATTTTTATAAGTGTAATTATATTTATAATTAAAGAAAAAACTTCGGAAAAAATATTTATAGTATGATAGTGATTCAAATGTAAATAAGTACTCTCAAAAACAACAGATTTAAAACATTTTTTAGAAAACAAAAAAAAAAAAAAATGTACAAAAAATTATTTGTTTTTATATAAAGAAATAATTAAATTGTAAAGAAAAAAAAAAAGTTTTATAAAAAAACAAATATATATATATTCATGTTTCTACATTGAAAAATTTTCTTATATTATTTTTCATTATATTCTATAAACATTCACTTAAAAAAAAAAAAAAAAAAAAAAAAAAAAAATTAAAGATGTAAATGTATAATTATTTATTGAATAATCGTCTTTATATATTAAAAACCAAATATTCCTTAATTTTTTTTTCGTATAACTTATATTTATTTTTATTAACATTGCATCATATTATACTTTTTTTTTTTCTTTTTATTCTCTTTTTATGATTTTTTTTTTTTTTTTTTTTTTTCTAGTTTAAACATCTTCCATATATTTATTTTCGGTTATATCAAAAATTTCATTCGAATTTGTGTAACTTTGATTTAACTTTTCTTTATATTCTTCTGAATGTATTTTTTCATTACTACTAATATGTGAGGAGTATTGATCATCTATTTGTTTATTTATTTCATTAACTTCATTGGATTTATCAAGGGATAAATTGTTTTTATGATTTGAATTTATCGTATCAAAGTTATTAAGATCTTGATCTTCCATTTTATTATATTTATCATGATTATTTATATCATGAACATTATTTATTGAAAAATTTGTATTATTTACATATGAGTCTACCTTCATGTCAATAAATTTATTATCGATACTATCTTCTACTGAATTTTGTGATATAAATTTATTTTCATTCATTTTTTTCATATCTAAACTATGTTTTGTATCAAAATTTTGAACATCTTTTTCTAATTCTTCATTAAATTGATTTAGAAATATGTCTTCTACCTTTTCATAACCAATTTCCTTAATTTCTTCAATTATATTTAAATCAATTAATTTTTTTAAAGTATTATAATTTTTTGTACTTCCTAATGTTTTTATTTTGTCAAAGATTGATTCACATTGAACCGCTTTTTCATAATCAGGAAAATATTCTGGATTTTCATCAGGTGTTAATAATAAAGTAGGTAAATTGGGATTAATTTTTTTTAAATGATCTTTCCATTTTGCCAAAATCATTGGCAATAAAGAAGGCTTATATACTCTTGCGAAAAAAGCTGCATATGCAAAATTATTATTATATAATAAAATATTTATACATTTGTTTATTTTGTGCAATAAAAAATAACATATAAAAGCAATGTTATATTTTTGGTTATTTAAACACATAACACCTAACTCTTCTATTCCTATTTTATCTCCTAAAGTTGATAAAATTATTAGTAATGATGAAAAATCATTCGTTTTCTTATAACAATATATAGCCATAGGTATATCATTATAAACTAGAGCAGTATCCCCTAAACTTTTGTATTTATTTTGTATAAAAGAATTATTTTCTTTTTTTTCTAATTCTTTTATTATATCTACGCATAATTGCAAATTTCCTATAGATAAAGCTAGTTCAAATTTTTTTTCTAAGTCATTGCATATATTTAATGCTTTATTTTTATAACCCATTTTCTCTAAAAACATACTTAATTTATTGAATAAAGATTCAGGAATTTTTTTTATTATCATATCTGCTGAAATAAAATCTTTATTCATGATATATTTTTGATATTGCAAATAAGTAATGGGCAAATAAAAACTATAAAAATTATAATTTTTATCAAGTAAAAAAATTCTATCATATTCATATACATATCCACATATGTATAGATATTTATCAATATATGCATATATATCAATAAATTTTTTTGTATATATATATAATCTTAAGTTACTAGAAATATATAAAAAACTATCATATATCCATATTCCACTTTCAATAGATTCTTTAGTTTCATTTTCTAGTTCAAAACAGTTTTTTTCTTCAGCTTCTATATTTTTTGTATTGTTTTCATTAATATTATTGCTATCATTATTTTTTGTTAAGTTATTTTTCATAGTATTCACATATGAATTAGAATAACTTAAAATATAAATGGTATCTTCTGTAGATAAAGCCACATAGGTACCTGATTCATTCCAGTAAACATCTTTCACATTGATGTCTATCTTTCGTATAAGATTGTAATCATTCCAATCATAAAAACAAATGAAATTATTTGATTTTACGCCTAATAAATATCCACCAAATAATTGAGTAACTGTGTAAGGAGTTTGAAAGGAATGAGTAGAAGAAAAATCTTTATAAATACTAATTTTATTAGTTTCTTCTTTTACTGCATAATCTCCATTATGAGACCAAACAAAAAAGGCACTCTTTCCATAAGCTTTATTTCTTAATACTTGAGATGTATAAATGTTAAATTCGTGATGACCATTTACACAAATAAATCTTCCACTAGGATGAAAAGAAACATTTGTTGGATAAAAATCACAGTTTCCTAATTCTTTTTTATTTACTTTATATATGTCACCATCATTGTAATCATCACCTACATTTTGCAAATTTATAATGTATATTTCAGTATTCTTTATGTAAATTATTTTATTTTTAAACATAGTAAAGATAGGTTTATCTGATCCAATTTGTATTACTACTAGTCCTTCATCATATCCTATACATAAATCATTTTTTGTTTTTTTTGCACACAATGACCAACATCTGTCCATATTATAATTTAATGTGGTCTCTAATTTAAACATAGAGCTATTCCATATTTTAACATTGCAATCTTCTGAGGATGAAATAATTATTGGTAAGTTGCTATGGTATATCAAGCATGATATATTTTGTGTATGACCAGATAATACTTGAATGCACTGTTTGGTATGATAATCCCATATACGTATTGTTTTATCATCACTTCCACTTATTATATAAGAAGTTTCTCCAGAAGATGAATAATCAATACAATTAACTCCTTTTGTATGACCTGTTAAGGTAAAATGTGGTTTTGTAACTATATGAGTATTATTTTGAACTCCCCATATTTTAATAGTTTTGTCTAATGAAGCTGATGCAAATATATAAGTATCCTTAGGATTAAATTTACACATCATTACATAATGAATATGATTTTCAAAAGAGCATAATTTTTCGAAATTATTTTCATAATCATATAGCTTTATAGTCATATCATCCGAACTTGTTAAAATGTAAGGAAGAGTTTGATGGACTTCAATATATCTTATATAATCAGTATGATCTTCAAACGTTTTAATTTTTTCAAAGGTATTATAATTATACACCCTAACAGCCATATCATCACCTGCACATATTATCCATTGCTTTTTTTCAATAAATTTAGCACATCTTAATGGAAATAATGACACTTCAATATTTTTAATCGTGTTCTGATTTGCATAATCAAATATAATTAGCTTCCCATTATATAAAGCTGCAAGTATCCACGTTTCTGTTTCGTGAATATCAACACATTTTACTTTACCAATTCGTGAATTTAATTTTTTTTTTATATCTAAATTTAGTGGCATATTATAACTTATTAATAAAAAAGTATTAAAAAATAAATAATATGTTATATTATTAATGTATTGTATTTATAAAATATGAAATAATATTAATACAAAATATGATTTATAATTTACATAAGTGCTAATATATAATTATATTAATATGGGCAATAATGTATATAAACAAAAAAAAAAAAATTTTTCGTAATGTTTTTCCATTAATATTTATTTACGCTCTTAAAAACTTAACTATTTTAAGACTATTTATTAATACAAAAGAAAAAAAAAAAAAAAAAAAGCTATGAGATGGAATTAAATAAAAAAATAAAAAAATTGCAAATATTTTATAATATTTACTTTTTTTTTTTTTTTTTTTAAATGCAAAATTTTTGTATGTCATATAAAAAAATAAATAGAAATCTGTATTTAAAATATAAATTTTATTCTAAAGAAAAAAAAAAAAAAATATAAATATATATCAATAGAAAATAAATACAATTATATGAAATGTTTTTTTTTAAATATATGTAATGCATTTATATACATTATCACTTCATTTGATTTAATATAAAAGAAAAATTATAATTTTAATATTTTTTTTAATAAAAAAATATATATGATCCTATTAAAATAATTATTAAACAGTGGTAAATTACAAATTAATCTATACTAACCTTGTAAACTGAAATATTATTATTTTATTTTTTTTTATATTATGTATAATATAAAAGATTAAATTAGCTATAAAAGTTATTAGAAGTATGTTATTACTTTTAATTTATACTTACACATATATATAACCTCTTTATTTTTAATTTATACAAAGTTTACATAATTCTTTATTTTTAGAAGTATTAATTTAATATTGTATTAATAAAAAGTTTTTTAGTATATTATTTATAATTTATTTTTTCTATTTTTAGACTAATTATATTTATATAATAGTAGAAATCCTATTTTAATTTTTATTATTTAATGAAATTAACTTTTTAACTATTATTTTTAAGAAATAAAAAAAAGCAAATAACTAAAATAAATTGTAACTATATATATGGTGATATTCAAAATAACCCTACAGTTTAGTTTTATAAAAATTGAATGTTTTTTTATTAAAATAAACCTATAAAATAATAAAATTAAATAATGTGTAAAAAAATATGTGTTAATATACATACACATTTGACTATTATTTTTTGTAATTAAAAAAATAAAAAATAAAAACATTGTTTCATGTTAGTTTTAAAAATACGAATTATGTTATTATGTTTGCATATTAATTTCTAGGTTATCTATTTTAATAACGGATATTTTCATAAGAATAAAAATATAGATTTAAAAAATACAATTTTAAATGGAGTTATGTTTTAAATATTTCTGAAAACATGAATATGCTATATTTTAATTCATGTAAATTTAATTTTGTTATGAAGTATTAATGATTTTAATATATTAAATAAGAAATTATTATACGTAAAAGAGATAACCAATTTATAACTTAAAAACATAAGAGTATTATACTGACTTTTTATTGATATTTCTAAGTTAAAATAAAAACGCATTTTCATATTTTATATTCTTTATATAGGTGATAATATTATTTCTTATAAAGTATAAAATCAATTATATTATCGTATCATATGGTGAGAATTGTTTCAAAAAATTTACGTAATAAATTAAAAAAAAAACATACAAAATAAATAAAAAAAAAAAAAAAAATTATAATAAAAATAAAACAATTATAAAAAATAAGAATTCACTCACATTTTTATTGACTTTAAAATAAAATAATTTATAAAAAAACTATATATAAAATTATAAATATTTTACAAATTTCTTCTTGAAAAAATATAAAAAATTAAATAAATTAATAAAAGAACATAAATTAGAATCTTCTGAACACCTGGTATAAATTGAAATCGTTAATATTTTGTTGATTTTTGATGAAGCTGTAAGCATATATGCTAAGTAATAATAGAAAAAAAAAAAAAAAAAAACAAAAAAAGGTTCAATAATTATAATAAATTTAATACAATTTTTTGTTATCTTTTTTTAGACATTTCTAACTTTTTCTTTTATTTCAAAAATTTTTTTCTCTATATATATCTTAAAAAAATTTTAATATATTAAAATAGATTTCCATTAATGAGAAATATAATTTTGTTAAAAAAAAAAAATATATATACATAAGAAGCTAATAAATAAGCTAAAAATAATTTTTTATTTTAAAAAAGAAAAGAATTCATATATATAGATTTAACATTTTGTTGTTTTTAATGAATGAAAAAAAATACACCTAGTGTATTTAAAAAACAAAATAATTATCCAAAAGATACAGAATAAAATAAAATTATATATAAGGAGATTTAAACTTCTATAATTCCTTTTTGTAATTTTCTGTAATGAATATTATAAAAAAAAAAAAAAAAAAAAAGTAAATTTTTTCAGTATTATTTCTTACTTAAATATAATATTAATAAAAAAAATTATAAATATTTATTTCAAAAATATTTTCAAATTATAGAAAAGGAACATTTTTATTACGTAAAAATAAATAATTAAATCATCTAATGTTTGCTACACTAATTCAAATAATTAGAAGAGGTGTTTTGTAACAATCAATGGATAATTTTCAATGTTATAATTACACAAAAAAAAAGAGATATTTAATACAAATAAAAAATAATCCCAAAAAATTAAAAAAAAAAATAAAATCTGTTATTACATTAAAGTAAAAAAATTATAAAAATATATTATGTGCAGGGGATAAGAACAAATATAAAAAAATGAATGAAATAAACTGTGTTCATGCACTTTTCAATTTCACTTAAGTCACATAATTGGGAATTTTAATTTACAAAAAATTATCTTTTTTTTTTTTTTTTTTTTTTTTTTTTTTTTTTTTTGTGGTAAAATATATATAAAAAAAAAAAATTAAAAAAGAAAAAGAGAAAAAATTAAATTGATTGCTATAATTTGTACTAATATCTATATAAATAAATAAATACATGCTTTTATTTTATTTTTTTTTTTTGGTGCAAAAAGCAAAAATTAGTGAGTTAACTTTTAATATAATATACATTTTTTTTTTTTCCTTCATTTATGAATATAAATTTTCACATATTCGAACTTAAAATTTTTTGAAGATTTCTTTTTTTTTTATGTTTTATTTTTTTTATTTTTTTTCAACATTATAATATCTTTAAGAAATAAATGAAATTGTTGTACATTGTTGGGTATCAGTAAGATAACAGAAATAATAATCATACTATTTTAACATGTGTAGAACTAATTTATGATGATAAAGAAATAAATAGAAAAATAATGAAAACTGATGTTAAAGAAAACTTGATATTTTGATATCATACATATGAAAGTAACAAAATATGTGTTAGTAAAAATGCTGATAAAAAATAATACTGATCATATTAAAACATATTTTTTTTATTTATTGTATGAACATTCAGAAAAAAACAATTATTATTTATTAGTTAATAAATTTTTAGATGGCATACATTTAGTGAAACATGTTTTAATTCTTAAGATATTTGTTGACTTTCTTTTAAAAGTTGAAAAATATTTAAATTTTTTATATTGTATAAAGAATATATTAATTTTTTGTAATTTTTATGATTGCAATTTTTCAACTTATAATGGCATAATTAATAAATTTTATGTTATAAAATATGTTTTATATTTTAAAAATATAAAGAAAATAAAGAATATTAATGTTGAATTAAAATACAATAACATAAATGTGAAAAAAAGAAAAAAAAAGAAAAAGAAAAACCTAAATATTTTAATATTGTATTCCTTTGAAGAATGTAAAATTCCAAGAATTAAAAATACTCATTATCATATAGAAGAAATTGTAAAAATTGATAATCATACCAGCATAAAATGTAATAAATTAAATTTTAAGATATTAAATATTAATAATAAAATAGATAGAGTTTTAAATATTCTCATGAGAAAATGCACATATTTATTTTACGAAAAAAACAATTTTTTATATATGGAAGAAGATATATTCGTTAAAAGGAGATTTTATATGGTAAACATATTTAAAATTATTTTTTTTTTTAAAGTGGTTAATTTATATATATATATTAAGAAAAATTTCTTTTTATATTGTCATATCCTGTATTATTATAAAACAAATGATTTGATTCATTTATTCTTTGCATCAATTAGGATTTTCTCATATTGTTTTAAATTTAATAGCTTTCATAAAAATTATATAAAAAAAATACACAAAAACAATTGTATATTTTATTTTTATGTAAAATTATGTATTCATAATAAACTCAAGAAAATAAAAAAAAATTTTTATTTTGAATTAGTTTTAAAAAAAAAAAAAAAAAAAAGAATACATAATCAAGAAATTTTTTATAATTATACAGAGGTATTTTCAGATAATTATATATACATTGAAAAAAATTGCATAACAAAAAAAAATAAAAGAAAAAAAAACCAAAATGATAAAAATAAAAAAAATATTAAAAATAAGTATTCATTAAAGAAAAAAATTATTAAAAATGGTGATATTGATAAAATAGGTAAAGGTAATATGTATAATATAAAACATAATTTTATAAATATTGAAAACTGTGAAAATAATGAAAATGATATGGAAAATAAGAATGGAGATATAATTAAGGAACATAAAGATTATGTAGAAGGATTCGGTAATAATAATAATAACAATAATAATTATAATAATAATACCGATAAAAATGACGACGATCATAGCAGTAATAGTAGTAGTAATAATAATAATAATAATAACAATAATAATAATAATAATAATTATAATAATAATACCGATAAAAATGACAACTCTCATAGTAATAATAATAATAATAATAATAATAATAATAATAATAATAATAATAATAATAATAATAATAATAATAATAATGATGATGATGATGATAATAATAATAATAATAATAATAATAATAATAATAATAATAATAATAATAATGATGATGATGATGATGATGATAATAATAATAATAATGACGATAATAATAATAATAATGATGATGATGATGATAATGATAATAATAATAATAATGACGATAATAATAATGACGATAATAATAATGACGATAATAATAATGGCGATAATGATGATAATAATAATAATGGCGATAATGATGATAATAATGATGATGATAATGATGATAATAATAATGGCGATAAAAAATGCAAAAATAATGAAGTATATTTTGATAAAAAAAAAAAAAAATTTAAAATTATGAACAAATTGTTAAAAAATTTGTCTTTAATGTCATTTAATACAGGTTTATTAGAATATAAAATATTTGGAGTTTGTATTTATCAAAATCCTCCATTTATTACTAATAGACTTTTACATATTCCTTTTGCTTTAAAGAAGACAAATGCAGATATAATAGCTTTACAAGAGGTGTATGATGAAAAACATGTAGAATATCTTAAAAATAATTTAAAATCGAATTATCCATTTTGTGCAAGAGATAATTATTGTAGTGATATATTTAAATTAAAATTTGATAACAATAATAATAATAATGATATTGGTAATAATATAAATATTAACAGAAAAAGTAATAAGAAAGAACAAAATTATAAAAAAAAAAAATATTTTGCTTTACATCATGGTTTATTAGTTTTTAGTAAATATCCAATTATTTATTCTTATTTTCATAGTTTTAAACATGTAACTTATTTGGAGAATTTATTCGGAACTAAAGGATTTTTAGAAGTAATAATTGATGTTCCTTCTTTTAGTTACGTTACTTTAGTTAATATGCATCTAGCTAGTGGTGCTGCAGATACTGAGTCTAAATATATTGAAAAAGTGAGGGATTTTGAAATAAAACAAATTATGAAAATAGCTAGAAATGCTGAAAAAAGAAATACAATCCCAATAATTATTGGGGATTTAAATGCAGCCCCAAATTTATGTCCAAATAATTATTCTTCTTTTATTAATAGAGGATGGAAAGATGCATGGTTATATGCTAGAAATTTAAAAAAAAAGAAAACGAAACAAGTGATAGAACAAAATATATTACAAAACGAAAAGAGAAATAAAGAAAACATTTCTCCTAATATTTATAATTCATTCAGTGAATTGTTTTCCAATGACAATAAACATACAGACTATAATTTTGTTTTAACTGATAACCATATTGATACTCAGAATAAAAAAAGTGTCTATCGTGAAATAATGGAAGATAAGAAAAATAACAAAACAGACGATGGTATTAATAATAATTGTTTTTATGTTTTTCACAAAAATAAAAGAAATAATAAAAATAGTAGTAGTGTTTTTTATATGAATTCAAATAAAATTTTATGTGATTGCTACAAAAATTCCGAATTTAATAACACTAATAGACAACTTATAAAAAATGGCAAGTGTAGTTTTGAAAAAAATCATCTTTATCTCCCGTCTAATTTCATTTGTGAAAAAAATGATTTAAAAATTAATAATTTTAAAATATATGCAAATAAATTTAATGTTGTTTCTAATAATGATGAAATAAATCATACGAGAAAAAACACAAGTTTTTTATACAATAAAAGGTTTAAAAATACTTACTCCTTCTTTTACTATAAAAAAATGAAATATAGTGAGAATTATTTTTCTCCTCTAAACGTAAGGTTATATATTAATAAAAAAAGTACCAAAAAAAAAATGTTTAGAGAAAAAAAATTTTCTTTTTCCTATTTAAACAAAAAAAAAAAAAAAATTTTAAAGAATAAGAAAAGTTCAAATATAAAGGAAAATCACAAAAATATTGAAAATGAAAAGGATGAAAATAATAAAAATTATAATCTAAATAATGAAGATATCATATTTAAAGAAAATAATTATAGTAGTTCTTCCAGTACCTTTCTTTTTGATTTTTCTAAGAATAATTATGCATCTGATTATTTCATTACAAAGAATACTAAAAATGTGAATAGAAAAAATAATTTTTTTATTTTAAAATCAAAAAGCAGACATAAATCTTCTTATAATTGTGTAGTTAATAAACATAATTCTTCTGATATAAACAGTTATCACATTTTGAATAATATGAAAAATTATAGTGAGATAAGTGATCATAGAAATATAATAAATAAAGAAAGCCATAATTCTTCAACTGTTAATCCAGAGAATCACAATATCGTAATAGAAAGTAAATTAGAAAGCTGCTCGACTTGTGATGTTATAAAATATGAAAATAGGTTTAAAAAGAATATTATTTATTCTAAATTTAATTCTCTTAATAAAAAAAAGCAAAATTTAAATGATATGAATAATTATAAAAATTTAGAGAATTTTATGGAAAATAATGATAATAATTTATATTCAAGTGATATGTCAAGTGAGAGTAATCAATCATATACAGATTTGTATGATGATGATGATGTAAGTGATAAGAGTTCAAATATTTCAAATAATGTTAACAGTAAGACATGTTGTGAAACAGAATTAGAAAAAGATGATGCTTATATGAATAAAGATAATAATAATAATGTGAAAAATAAAAATAAAAGTAATGAAATATTACACAATAAAATATATGTTAAGAATAAAATTGAAAGGGATTCAAGTAATAATTTAGAAGATGATATGATAATTATTGAATTAAATAGAAGTAACAATCATGAATTAAGAAAAAAACATAATTATAATGATATTACGAATATGCCTATTTCTGAAGATAGTATCTTTACTAATAACTTTTTAAATTTACAAAAAAATATGAATATAAATTATGAGTATAAAAGAAAAAAAAAAAAAAAAAAAAGTTTCTTTAATCCATTTTTAGTAAAACATGTAGAAACAAGAGAAATTAATTTAACAAAAGAGATAGATAACAAAGAAGAGGATAAAAATGTTAATTTAGATAATAATAGGAAAAAAATAATGAGCAAATTATCAGAAAAAATAAAACAAATGAAAAAATTTTTTTTATGCAATATTTTGAGGAATTATGAACAATATGATAGTGAAAGTGATAGAGAATTAGAACATAAGGATGAAGAAAAATATAATGAAAAAAAAAGTAAAGATGATAGAAAATCATGTGCTAATAATAAAAATATATATAATAATGCTCTAACTTACATGGAAGAAAATGAAAATAAAAAATTTCAAGAAATTAATTATTCAAATAAATTAAGTAATGATGATCATAAGAAAATTTTAAACAATAATTTAGAGGAACGTAGAGGGAAAAGATTTAATGGAGAATTTTTCGATTTAAATAGAAAGGGGGATAACAGTAATCAAGAAGTATTCAAAAACTCCTTCTTTGAATTCATTAAAAAGTTGAAATATAAAACAAAAAATACATTAAAAAAAGAATTTCATATTGGTAAAAGTAAGCATAAAAATAGGTCAAATGAAGTAGAATATGATTCTTCGTCAAAAAAAAAGGAAAACATCTACGATTTAGAAAATAATTTTCTGAAAGAAAACACATATATTAATGAAATAAAAGATAGTAAAGCAAAAGAAGATTTTTTAAAAAAAAATGAATATTCTTCAAAGAAGAAAAAAGAAAAAGAGAAAAGAACTATATTTAAAAAAAAGAAAAAAATGGATGAGAATTTTTTAAAAGAGAATAAAAAAAAAGAAAAAAAGATAGAAGAAACAAATAATAGTAAAAATAGAACTAAAGAGAGTAGTAGTTTTTGTAAAGAAAAAAAATATAACATTTTAAAAAGGGGAATATATCAAAATATTTTAAAAAGTAAAAGTTTATCTATGCAAAAAGAAGAAAAAAATTATAGTGATGAATTTACATGGGATCCTTTAAATCCTCTCAATGTAATTGGGCCACATTCTAGATGTAATGGTTTAAGATGTGATTATATATTTTTTCCGCCAATTAATTATAAAAAAGTAAAAAATTATAAAAACAATAAAAGAAACAATGAATCTGAAGAAAATGGGAATATTAAAAATGAATTAAATAATGAAAATACAGTAGAAAATGAAAATAGAGTAAGAAAAGAAGATAGATTAACTCATGAATCTGTTAGTAGTAGTGATGATGGTGAAGATCGTTTTAGATGTTTGTGTAAGTCTCGTAATAATAAAATAAGTACTGATGAATCACCTAATCTTAAAAATTATAATGATTTAAAAATTTTAAAACATTATTATATTAAAAGTGCAAAAATATTATTTAATGAACCACTAGTAATGGTTGATTCTTATAAAAATTTTAAAAATTTTAATTGTTGTTATTCATTATGTATGAAAATAAATAATGTTAATTTTGTCACAATGTCAGATCATTATGCCATAAAAATTGATTTAAGACTGAAAAAAAATTTTAATAATAAGGAATAATTGTAATAGAATTATCTTTTATACCCATAAAATTCTATAAACATTTATATATATATATATGTGTTTAAACTTTTAAAATTATAGTTTTCATATATGTTATATATTTTATTATTTTATTTTTTTATTTTTTTATTTTTTGTATGCCCACTTATTTCACATTTTAATTTTTTTATGTATAAAATTTTTTCTTAAAATAAGCATAATTAATTTTCTTTTTCTTTTGGCCATTTCTTTTTTTAAATATATTATGTATAGTTTCAATTAATTATATAATTCATTTGATTCATTTAATATATTTATTTAAATTAAAATATTATTAAGTTTACATATTGTAGTTTTTTTTTTTTTTTTTTTTTAAGTATTCTTTAATATGTTTTTGATTTTTTTTTTTTTTTTTTTTTTTTTTTTTTTTTTTATGTTATTTTAATAAAAAATTATATATCTTTTATAAAGCTTATATTATACAAAAGCATACATAATTTTTTCTGTTTTCTTTTTTTGTAATTTAAAGATAAAAAAAAAAAATATATGATGTATTAATAAGATTATGCATATGCATATCAATCTTTTTTTTTTATTATTTTACAGAAAATTTATTTTAAATTATTTTAATTTATAAGTTAAAATAAAAAAAAAAATATAAGTATATTTTTAAATAAGTAAAAAATTTCTAATTAAAAAAAAAAGACATAATTTATAAAGTTTATATTAAAGCAAAATATTTATTAGTTTTAAAACTATAATATAAATTATAAGTACTCAAATAAATATGATTAAATTATATATTTATAATATTTAAATCCAAATCATAAAAGGAAAAGATTAGAACACATCAAAAAAAAAAAAAAAAAATAAATAAATAAAATAACAAAATTAGTAAATAATATTAATAAATTAAATAACAATAATAACAATAATGTTTTTAAAAAAACACATAAAATATTATAGAATATATGTTAAAAGAATATTTATTTATTATTTAATTCAAAAAAAATTTATTGAAAATAAATTGAAAAAATATATATATTTTAAAGAAGATTCAATGTCCACATCTGAGAACCTGGTATAATAAAAATTTTTATTTTTTGAAATCTACTAACTTTTTCATATTTATTGCAATATTTAAATTCCATATTTTTATCATATGTATGTTCTATATAATAATTTTCATTATTTTTGTCTATATAATTATCATTTATATTTTCGTTTAAATATTTTTCGTCTAAGGTTTTTTCATCTACATCTTTTTTGTTTATGTTTTCTTCATTTATATTTTCATTGTTTATCTTACCTTTAAACATATCTTCTTCATGAACATCTTCATTCTTTTTGATAAAAACATCGTGAATATATAAATCATCGTAAATCTTTTGAAATTCTTTTCTGTCTTCTAATTTCAACATTTTGTATTTTACTTCTAAATTTAGTTCACTTAAAATTTTAAAAATATTATAAAGATGCTCATTCCTTTTTTTTTCATTTTCTGAATTTATATCTTTACTTTTTTCCTCTTCATCTAAAGAATAATTTTCAAAGGTTTCATCTATATTATAACAATTCATATTAATTTTAAATAATATATCTTTTGATAAATTATAAATAAATGTGCCTTCATTATAAGATAATAAAATAAAGTTAAATTGCAAATTTAATAAATTATCACTAATTGATTTTTCTGTTTCTAGTAATGGAACATAAAAAACGATTGCATTTTTTAGTTTGCCATTTTCATTAGAATTCTTTTTAAGTTTTAATTTCAAATTTTCTTCGTTATTATTATTCATATTCTTGTAATCACTTTTAGATGTATTATTAAACAAATTTACATTATCATAATTAGTATTTTTATTATCTACTATATTATCTGTTGTATATATATTTTTAGAGGAATCCAATGTGAAACAAGTATAAATAATTTTATTTAAATGATTATCTTCTTTTTCATTAACACATATGTAATTATTTTTTAATATATTAAGACAGATGTTTTCTTTTATATTTTTAGTAATAATTATTTCTTGAATGTAAGCCTCAGTTAAAAAACTTACTATTCCTTTATTTAAATAAAAGTATTTTTTAATTGTTTTACATTTCTCTTTTTTAGTACTCTTATTATTTATTAAATAATTTTCCTTTATTCCTTTTTCTTTTTTTTCACATATATCATTTGTATGCATATAATCCTTTTCATTTTTGTTAATTGCTTCTGTTTTGTCTTTATATGTTTCATTTTTTTCATCTAGGAAAATTCCCTTTTCGTTTTCATCATTTACTTGATTTTTTTCATTCAATATAAGTACTTTCTTCTTTAAATTTTTTTCTTTTTTTTTTTTTGTATTTTTATACATATCATTTAAGTATACTAAATATTTATTTAAGAAAAAATTCTTCATATGAATTTGAGCTTCATCTGTTTTTTTCTTTTGATAATTACACTGATCACATATTTTTTTTAACTCTTCATAATTATAACATATTTTTTTATTTTCAATAATGTTATTTAAAATTCTGTGAATAATAATATCAATATATCTTCTTATTGGAGATGTAAAATGAATATATTTATTAAGTAGCAAACCAAAATGATCAGAATTATTTTCACCTTCTACGGATGGAATATAAATAGCCTCCTTATAATATTTTAAAATATTATAATGAAGACATAATAATTGATTTTTATTTAATATTTTTTCGCATACAAGAAGAATATCATTAATACTATTTTTATATATATCAATAATATTGTTAATCTTATTATAAGTATTATAGTCAATTATTTTTAAAAAGTTTTTCTTTATTTCTTCAGTTGTATCTTGGTGTACCCTTAATACTCCTAACCTGTTGTTACAAGAAATTTTATGAGCCACCAGAAAGTTTGCTAAAATCATCATTTCTTCAATCAACATATGACTTTTTTTTTTATAATCAAATGTTTCTATACTAACATTTTTAATATTTGTTTCATTTAATAAATTTTTATATTTTTCTCTTTGTAAAAAATTTTCAAGAGATATTTTAGTACTTTTTAACGATAATAAATATTCTTTTGTTATTTCTTCTATGCTCACAGGAATTATTTTTTTTTCATTATGATTATTATCTGTATTATTGAAAGAAAATAATAAAGAATATTTCTGATATATATTCTTTCTTTTTGTTTTTTTTTTCAACATTTTTGATAATAAATATAATCTAAATATATCACTTCCTATTTTAACTGACAAATTATACTTTTTACAAAGATTTTGAAAATCATTTACAAAATGATTCAAATTTAGGTCACCATTAATTAATATTTTTTCTTCCTGTTCTTTAATAGTCTCACTTCTTTCATTCATATTAAAATAAATATCATCGAGAAAATCTTCAACTAGATCATAATTTAATTTATACTGACTCTTAATTAAGCATTTTTTTATTTCTATATTCTCTAAATTTTCATTTTTTGTTATATTATATGGATTACTTAAATCGTTTAAATAGAAAAAAATAGAAAAGGAAAGTTTTTCACTTTTTGTATTCAATGAGCATATTTCTTCACTTAAGATGGATGGTAACATATGAATTACCCTGAAAAAAAATATATATAAAATAAATGTTAAAAAAATAAGAAATATAAAGAATATAATAAATTATATATATGAACATATAAACAACAACAAAAAAAGGGAATTACATATTCTAAAAATATAAAACGATGATGAAAAAAAAAAAAAAAAAAGTAAATAAAGAAAAAAAATAAAAAAGATATAGATAAAAATATAACTTTTTCAATTTTAATATACAAAAATTACTTACAGAAAATCCATATATATTGTATTACAAATTTTTGATGCTATATTGTCATAGTAAGAATTAGGTGATATAAAAAATGAAACATCAGAAATATGTATTCCTATTTTATATTGAAATTTATTTGTTAGATTATTTTTATTCTCAACAAATTCAATAGATAAAGCGTCATCTAAATCTTTTGCATTTAGAGGATCAATTGTAAATATATCTAAATGCGTAATTATATCTCTATTTTTTAAAAAGCATTTTATCATATATTTTTCTAAATTCTTGCTTTTCTCTTTAAGATTTTTAAGATAATTTATTTTCTTGTCATATTGTTCAAAGTATGTCACATTTCCTTTATTTTTATCATCTAACATTAATGCATGCTTTTTACGATTAATAAAATTATTAATAATTCTTTCATTTACATTTATTCTGGAATTTAAATAGAACATATCATTTTCATTATATATATGAAAATTAATTTTATAAAAGTGTAATAATAAATATATCATACCAAAAAAGTTTTTTTCATTTCCTAAAATTTTACTAATATTTCCTAATGGATTTATTTGATTCTTCTCCCATTCCTTAAATTTCACCAAAACACATAAACTTATTTTTTTCTTTTTAATATAATACAATATTTTATTAATTATAGAATCTGAAGAATCATATATAAAGCATGGCAAGCGCGTATCACTTGGCTGTATTTTTGCAAAAAAATGTTCCTTCTCGTTTTTGTTCTCGTTTTCATTTTTATTTAATTCATTTTCTTTTTTTATTATTTTTATATTATTTTTTTTAACGAAATTTTCATTAATTTTACTTATTTGTTCATTATTATCATTTTTAATTTCGTTATAATAATTCTTTATATCTGAACAATTCATATTTTTCAAATTATTTGTTTTTTCTTTCATTCCAAAATTATTATTTATATTTTCTTTAATATTTAAATAATTCAAAATACCAACAATTTCTAAATTTCTTCTTTCAACAATATTAACTACTCTACAATATTTCTCATTTTCATCTTTACTTTCGTTTATGTTATTATATAATGCTTCATTTTCTTCTTGATTTTCATTTTCCTTTTCTTCTATTTGTCTAATTTTTCTTCTAGCTGTATAAGCATATACTATGTCGTTATTTAATGCTCTGTTCCTACTTATATATCCATAAACAAAAAAAAAATTATTTTTAGAAGATAAAGATTCTTCATTTACAACAAAACATTTGCTAGTATCAAAAGGTGAAACATATAAAACTCCTTTAAATAATTTATTTTTTAAATCTTTTGTTGTTTTTTGTGATTTCAATAAATCGTTTATTTTTTCATTACTCCAAAATTGTTCATATTCAACAAATATATAATTTTTATCAACTATTTCATTATTAATGTGTAATATTTTATTATTTTTTATATTGTAATTTGTTAATTCACACGAATAATCATCATAATATTTCTTATCTTTTTCAATGTTTTTATTTAGTTTTTTTTCATTATTTAAATCATGTATGTTTTTTCGAGTATCCTTATTATAAATATCATCTTCATCAGTAACTTTAAAATTATCTTTACTTTTATCAGCTAAATTTTTTTTTTCTTTTTCTTTTTTATTTTTTATGAACTTGTTCATAAGAATTTCATTCTTTACATAGCTATTTGATTTTTCATCTTTTTTTGAAATTCTATTTTTTTTTATATGTTCATCTTTCACTTTCAAATACATATCCTTTCTTTTTAAATACTTATTTTTTTCTTTTAAATATTTTTCATCTTTTACAATTTTATTTTTGTTATTTTTACTTTTATCATTTTTTAAAGAATCATTTTGTTTCTTAAAATATTTATATTTTTCTTCTTCATTTACTTCTTCCTCTGTTTTCTTTTTCTCATATCTGTTGTCTTTTTGTAAATCATCATTATAATCTGTTTTATTTTCCTTATCAATTCTAATAATAAAATTATTTTTTATTTTATCTTTTTTTTCTTTTTCAAATACAATACTATTATTAGCATTTTTATTTAATTTTATTTCACTACTGATATTTACTATGGCAGCATTTTTTGTATCATTTTTTATACTTATTTGTTTTATTTTATTAAAAATTTTATCATAAAAATTTTTTTCATCATTATTAATAACATAATGCAAATTATTGTTTTTATTTGTTTCACTTATATTTATACTCAATGATATTTCATTATTTTCCGTTTTTTCTTTATTCACTTTTTCTAATCTAAGTCTTCTTATAATTTTTATATTTTCATATGTTTTCGTATAAAAGCAATATCTCTTTATGTTATTAAAAAAAAACATGTTAAATTTATTATGATCTCACAAATTTATTGTTAATATTTCATTTTCTTTTGATAGTTTATTTATTTAATTCTATTATATATTAATTTTTTATTTTTAAAATTTTAAATTTATATATATTTACTTGAACATATACCCACATATATGTTCTTATTAATATTAATACCCCTTTTTAAAAATGTAAAAAAAAAAAAATCATTCGAAAAAATATTTTTTTTTTAAAATTAAAAAAAAAGGGGATATATGTAAATCTCCAAAACATAATTGAAAATATTCAAATAGAAAGAAATAAATAAACTCACAAAAAAAAAAAAATTATACTTGAAGTGGTTTTTCTTTTTCAAACAAAATTTGCTCTATTATTATTTTTATAATTTCACTTTTTTTTTTTTTTTTTTTTTTTTT